AGCGAGCTGCGGCGAGTTATTAAGCAACGTTGGCATGCGCCGACGTGGAGCACCGGCGCGGGAACGTAAATCACGGCATAAGAGCAAACTTCTTTCATGTTACAATTTCTCGTGGATGAAACTCGCATCGCAGATGAATGGTGAGGATGCACGAACGGCTCCAAGTCCCTTCTCTCGGCTCAATTCGTTTCCTTTTAAAAGAGAGCTAGACACGCCCGGGAGATTTACTGAAAGGATGAATACGGACGATTAACCAGTGAATTTCCTGCATTTCCGTACGCCTCTTTTTGCTCGCATTTCGTGCGCCGGTCCGATCGATTTCGATGGGGAACGACTCGCGACGCTTCTTCTTCGGCGACGCGACTTTGTCGTGCAACCTCGCGTTGCGTGAATAAATAATCTCTGCGCTGCGTACGACTTTCGACTCTGCGAACGTTAATGTATCTCCTTCTTCTTCTCTTTTTGTCGGGTCGACGTCTGTCGGTAGTCGGACGGTTGCATCGTGAGCGCCGATGCCTCCTTCCAATTCAGAGCCGCTCGCTCTCACTCGTGACCGACCGTTGTTCAAAATGACGGCGAATTTTGTAGCATTTTAAATGAAATTTCCGTTGACAGCCGCATGTTTCTACACGCATCGTAGTTTTCCGCCGGTTACTTCCCTCGTAAAATAAATGTTAACTGCCCATTGTGCGTGAAAGAGAGAACTAGGTCGAGTGTGATAACCGAAAGTTACAATTTTACATAGTTTCCTTCTCTCTGGGTTTCGGAGAGCCGGCATATTGCAACGTACGACATGTTTATGGGAAGAGTCAATTTTGTTTTACACGCGAGAGGGAGATTATGTATCAAAAATTAATTTATTATAATTAACCGGATTATTAAATTGTAACTAATTGACAGTGTTCTAATAAATCTTCAAATAAAAAGATCTATTCGTAGAAAAGATTGCGATATTTTGCATTATTAACATTCCATTCGCATCCTATAGTTTGTTATACGAGATGTCAAAAACACATAGAGGGCTATATTATTCTCGTGACGTGTTAATTAATTAAAACCGATTTATTCGAGCATCATTTAGGCGCCGACGGTGTCCTTTGTCAACCGGATGCCCTCAAGAGCAAGGAAAACGCCAACGGAGAACGATTTATCGTAATAAAACTTTCAACAAGATTCTCTACCCTTATTTATCTATCAAATTAACGGACGTTGATTAGGACGGGCAGAGCAGTTTGATCTAGGAAACTCTCCGTTGTCAATTAATCATCGTCTATGCTAGTTATTACTTTCCCTTGAAGATTCTACGGAGATGCCGCGTTTATTTATACATGAAGTACTTCGTTACGTGAGACTACTTCGGGCTTAATGAGTGATTATTATGTATAAAATTTTTGATGGATTTGACGATCGAATCCTGATAAAAAAAAAAAAAAGACCGAGCAAATTTTTCGTCAAGTTTTTACACGAGTTTTAACACAATATACACTAAAAAAATTTGAAAAAAATTGGTACCAATTTAAGATTCATAATTTTTTAATTAATTTCTTACATAATATTTGTGTTACTTTTTAACATATTCATTTATTTTTATGTTAAATTAATACCTTGTGTTAAATGAATATACACAAATTTAAATGGATCGTTTGGGATATGCAGAAATTTAACACATATTTATGTAGTTTAAAAATATCGTTCTTTCTATTCGATATTTTTCTCTATTAATTCATGAAAATTATTCTTGAATGAATATATTTTTAGTCGAACTATATGGATTTTTTGCATGTAAAAGCAAATTTGTTCTTCATATAAGATTAAATATTCTCACTTATACCATTCACCCTGTGAATTTTACATTCCTGCGTATATTAAATTATTTGGCTACGAACTCTGTCAATACTATCTGTTGCAATAATATCGCCGTAAGGAACGAATTGATGCAGTTGCAGCGGAGCCATACGAGAAAGGCCGTTTGAATTAGAATTCAAAGGGATAATTTGAATTATCTCCCCCTCCCCCCCGCTACTTTTCGCCAGATATATCCGTATGTTCTCTTTATCTTTGTATCCGCTTGCGCGTTTCCGCTGTCTAAACGTCCTACGTGTTACGCGGCGCATGGGCGTCTCGGGGGCATTCAAGACGAGAAATCCAATTTCAATGAAAAGGCGGAACAAGAGGTTACGACGCGAGACAAATATCGTGTTTCAGCCGCTATATAACTGCATGGTTATGTACACGTTGCCTACGTAAATTGCTGGATCGTCGCTTTATTCGAGAGAATTTAACAGATTTATTGCGGAAACGGGAGAGAGTAAAAGCATCACCGGAATTCTGTTTGTCTTCTCGGCTTTAGATATTAACAGTGCTACTATTTGGTCGGCGAACCAAGACATTGAGGCGGAATTTGAGAAAACTTTCGAGAATTTATATTCGACGATAAAATTAAGGCTGTGCGATTAACGAACGAAATCAACATTAAACGTATAACTAAATTCTCGAAAAAAATATTACTTATTTTTATAGAATTATGCAAGTGTAACATATTTTCTTCCCTAACTTGATTCTTTAATTCCACGCTCGCTGATATAGCGAAGCACCAATAATTTGCACCGGTCATCCATATTTAACAGCAAATTCAACCGACCACTTGCAAGCGTTTGCACCCGAAGCACATTAATTAACAACAACCGTACTGAATATACGGATTTCATTGCTGCTTCCCATCCATAGAAATCATACCAGATATTTGTCAGTTATTTCAAGCGTATATTTCTTTGAAATTATCGAATAAACCAATATATTTATATTGGAATTTTTTGTTGAATTTCTTTATCGTTTTTATAATGTTTTTTTTTGTGAGATGAGAACTTTCAAGTGAAATTATTGATTGATTGTTGTAATAAGAAATAAATTGAACGTTTCGTAATTATTGCTTCATTAATGTAGATATATCGGCAAATTATTACATAAAATTATTACATTAAATTATTTCTCTTTCATACGTGTATAATCCAAGCATAATCTCTCGTGAAGCTCAATCAGATATATATTGACAAGTTTGAAATTATTAATATTTCCATAATTTAAATTCCGAAATTGTAGTGAAATTATTGACTCGGTGCTAAATGATGTAACTCTATAAATTCGTCATAATCTTGGTCCACTAATTCGATTGAAAGACGGTTAATTTTCGAAAACTAAAAGACAAACAAGTACTGATAATGACTTTATCCTATCACATTATAATTTGTACAATAAATAATATATAAACATATACATATATAAATTGAGTGCGATATAATCAACATTTTAATCAATTGATGATATATCTAAATAAGATGTTATGAGGTGAGTGTATCAGTTAGCCGAGGCGGTATTATATCAAGTAACGTATCGGAGTTTCATTAGTAACAAGATAACGGATGCTCGTGCATTATGAGTCTGTAATCTGATGTGCTAAGTAGCTGACATGTCTCTATTATTCTATGGTTACAAGAAGAGTACCAGTAGTGCCACTTACGACTTCCTGAGGCTGTGGTATTGCGTTACGTGATTGAGTCTCGCAAATTGCCTACAAACACGATAACATTATAATGCTCGCGAATTACGCGAATTATACGGTATATTCCGCGATTTTTATATTTCGTTTAAAATAAAAACATATTTCTGTGAACAACGTAAAATAAAAACATATTTCTGCGAATAACCTATTATTTTTTAAAAGTTTATTTAATAAAAAACAATGCTTTTAACGAGATGTATATTGTTTAGCCTCGTGAACATTTTTATTTCCTTTTTATTTGATACACTAGAAAAATGTATTAAAATATACATTGCATCTGTCGTAATATTGAAATTTGAAAAACATTATAAAATGTTACGAAACATCTGCAATTTGATCGTTTCAATTTTATCTATATTATTTTAACCCTTTGCATTCTAGTGGTGACTCTCACTCACCATGTGGTGCCATTTTCGCGCCGCGCGAAAAAGGCCCGGAGTGCAAAGGGTTAAAATCATCAAAATTTAAATTTTGATATTTTTAAAATACCAAAATTTACCTTTTCATTGCAGGTTTATTCTTCATCATTATGAGATATCGCGTCGAATATACTAGTCAGTTATAGTCAGAGGAAGAGGAAAAGATGCAAAAAGGAATAGATGAAATCGCGTTGCCCGAAGAAGCATTTCACAACCCACGCGTGCCCCGAAGCGTTTCCTGAGTGCAATAATTATCGTCGGAGACGTTGCCGACGAACGTAGTCCGTGGCTAAACTTTCAGAAAAGTTAGATTTGAGAAGCGGCTCTCAGGTACGCCAAAGTTTTCGGGTGGGAGCAACTCGCGTGGGAAGGGGAAAGGACAAGCTTCGGAAAGTGTCAGGACAAAATATCAAGTTGTGCGTCTAGTCCCACCCTCGTGCTTGACAAACTTTTCCTCGCTCGATACAAAATGATTCAGTTTCGAGCGAAGTAAGAAATGATATTTCAGTATTGCGATGTCAAATCGATGCAGCACGGCGGAAGAGGATGAATAAATAATATCGGGCGTGCCGGGAGTCCGCACACGTGAGCGAAATATCTGTATTTTGTTTTGAGTGTCGAGAAGAAGCACGTTAGTTGAATCCTTCGGATTCAAACTCGGATTCATATCAGAATCGAAATGGCGCAACTTAAACATGCTTTCAATTGCGTATCTATGTCCGTGGATCATGTATGAAATGACTACTTAACTACTTTGTTCCGCTATACACATACGAAATAAATTATGCATTTTTATATAACGCGCACATTGTATGAAAATATTGTTTACATATTATAGTTGCGTGTAGCGTTATTTGTTTTCTACATTTGATTTAAAAATGCGCCCTTAAATAACGTATCCTCTCGTCATGATTTTATCGTTTCATCGAGTCGTTTCAAGATACGTGACAATTAGAAGGGACACGCATTCGAGAGCCTGCAAAGCGGGATTGTTAAAACAAAGTGACAAGTTATAAACTCACCGATTTTGACGACAGAAGGTAGTGCGTAGAGTACTGAGGGAAGCTGGAGCAGCTGAAGGACGAAGACACAGGCTACCAGGCAACCCAGATTCATAGCTCATCTCGAAAACCCACCGCCGCGGACTCTCGGTGGCCCCTCACACGAACACTACCGCATGAATTATGTTTATGATGGATGTGGCTCGACACACTTCGCACATTTACCTAAACACAAAACACAACGTCAACACAGTCGACCCGAGAGCGTCGGAATGACGCCCGCTATATAATCAAAACTAATTGTGGCTCAAATAAATCGTAAAACTAACGGAAGCGTCGTTCATTCGACGCTTATCATCACGTCCGAGACCGCGATCCATCAAATTTCTATTCTAGAACTAAACCGCGTAGAAATTGTCCCATATACAGTATAAATTCTAAAAATATCCAAAGTTGTTCCAAAATAGCTTATTTTATTACGATATCAATGTTCAGTTTTACTGTACATTTGATATTTTGAACATTCAACTTTTATAATAAATAATTGCTCAATTTACAAAATACCATATATTAAATAATTATAACACATTTATCAAGCTCCACATCGTGTACCGTTTTCGGTACACATGACGTGAATTGAAAATCGCGGAATAACAGTCCAGCACGGAACGTATTAACAGAGCGCGCGTGTAGCGTGTGTGCCTATGTGTACGTAAAATATAAATATTAAAATGTTCAATGTTTCGTATATTTTGGTCAATCGTAGCGTAACATCGAAATCAGAAATAATGTTTGAGAAAATGTTGGAATGATTGCATAAAATCTCGACTCCTCGACTCGATCGATTCGACTTCTATCTGAGATAGTATTTTTCGCAACACGATAAATTGAATGATGACTATTCCAAGGTGTGGAATAAGGAGTTAACTGGAGGGAGATTTTAATAATATATATATGGAATTCAGGATCTCTGTCTAGTGTGGAACTTATGATTCACCGCGTTTATCCGGAGCGTGTGCCATTACACGTTAAATAATATATCTTCCCGCAATAATTTAATAATATTGCTACAGCAACCACGATTTAAGTTTTAAAGGTTCATTATATTTCTCTAAATTAAGTCACACACATTAACAATGCTAATATGAATATAAATATTTAAATAGGATTTGTTTTTCCTATTTAGAGAGATAATTATTAGATGAGAGAATCTCGTATGTTTGAAACATTATATTTGTAACCAGAACTCGCGTAGATTTCTCAATTAAAATTCATCATTATTTTGGGAAATCGAACTGGATTCCAATTAGATACTGAAAAATCTTCTATACGGGAAACTTAATCATGCTTGGGCGTATAAATAAACGTAAAGAAATCATGAGTATATTTCGAGTCGCAGGAACTAACCGCGTTTTTCTTCAAGCAGACATTTGTCTTTTTACGTTGCTTGTGCGTTAATTAAAAGTCTACCTTGAAATACCGACCGGTGGCAGGATATCCGCTATGCGCGTTCGCTTCGCCGTTCGCAAAATTCATAAGAGTCCTGCCGCGGACCAGCGCGTTTTTCAATTTACGGTCGGTGAAATCTCGCGGACTTTGCGAGCGGCCAAGAAATTACCATTTTGTGTAAACGTTTGTCGCTCGAAGTCTGATTCAATGGTCGCTATCGTCTTGCTCGAGATGCCTTACACGAGACGTTCCATGGAAAATGTTACGTGGAGCGCGTTCGCCGAGAAATTTACATATCGCGTATATGCTGTGAGTATCATTCGTGAATCCTCGTGGTAATGGAAAGTGTACCGTCGCTCGCATTATTTTATGTATCAAATTTTGATGACGGTCGGTCAGGGGATTTAAGAGCGGCTATCTAAGCTTGTAACTTGATGCTTTTCGCGAATGTATATATTCAGATATATTCAGAGAAAAAATTGATTAATCCAAAGGTTCAAAGGTTATCTGGAAGAGAATGAAAGCTGCTAGAATTATATATAGTGTCCGAAAACCGTTTGTCTTGGGCCACCTTATATACAATAAAAAATACGTTGATTCTAGGACACCTTTTATAATAAAACTGAGATTATTTATGTGCGTATATATGTAAATATCGTGTTTTAGTATTGTTAAATATTTTAAATCTTTTTAAAGAGATTAATTTGCAAATAATGAGCGTGGATGTTCAACGTAATAATATATATTGTAAGAGTTTCATACTGTGGCACAAAATTAAACACGAATATATATATAAAACACATTAACTGTTCATAAAATTCTATAATTAATTATAAAAGAGAAAAATTGTCAGAGAGGAAAATTACGTTTTCGTAATATGTGCATTTCGTTATAAACATGTTTGTTAACTTATTTATTTTTTACATATATATAAGTTTTTACAATTAATTCAAAACATTTGCACACGAGAGAAAGGAAGAAAGATAGAGAGAGAGAGAGAGAGAGAATGTTATTTTTGTATTATATTAAGCACATCGCGCGAGCAGCAATGTTAAATTATCGAACGTGACGGCTTTATGTTCTATAATACCACGTAGTAATTCAGAATATTAGTCATTTAACTCCTACTACGGTTTCAGTCTCCTCGGAGAACTCAGGGCTCGCTTGGAGAGCAGGTTTTCAATTTACGTCAACTAAATTAACTCTCTCTCTCTCTCTCTCCCCTACTCCGTCATCCTACTCCTACATCTTTTACGTTTCGCGAGCAAACAAAACGACGTCACGCGCATTATTCAGAAAACTTTGCATTCCGTTCTTACTCAGGCGTTTCTTGCTCTCCACGGCTGTCTCATAAATCGATAAAATTACGAAATAACCGGGCTGTTTTGCCGTCGACGACGCGGTGGCGGCTCGCTCTCGTTCGCCGCCAGCAAACGCCCGCGTTATTCGATTTTAATTCAATGTCACGATTTCCTCGCGAAACGGGAACAGTTTGCGGAACTTGGGCGCGCGACCCGCTCCCACGACGGCGCTGCGGCGGTTTAGAAGAAACAACGGCACGACTTTTAGTTTCCGCGGCGAATCGACGTTGCGCGTGGCGGGAATCGCGTGCGTAGACTTGCCGGCGACGACTTCGGCGGATCCCACGTATTCGCACACGGCGATCCTTTCGCTCGACTTTATGAAGGAAGGAATGCGTTTCTTACTTCCATCTTCCGGCGCGGACTTGCGGCCTGAGTAATTGCCACTCTTTTATCCGAGCCGCGCCGCGAGCTTTACAATGTCGCGAGAAGAAGGGAAACGTTGTACGGCGCGAGTAACAATCCCCTCGGGGTGGTACGACTATACGTGTTACGGCAATTCTTTCACCAGCGAAAACGAAGAAGTCGCCGCGGTACGTACACACGCGGCTCCTTTCAATCTCTTAGATGTAATTAATTCGAGACTCCCGCGCGCGCTATTCGTCATATCTCGTTCCCTCTCGCCATTGTCACAAATTACTCTTCGCACGGTCCCTTTTCGCACGAGTGCCTCCCCACTCTGACGGCTGCAAACGGAGCTCGTGCTTGGAAAGCTTAGGAAAATGAAGTCGCGAAAGAAAGTCTCCCGAACACGCCGAGATGCGCGGCTGAGTCCGCGCGAGAAACACGAGGGATCCGAAGTAGTGAGAGGTTAAACGTTATCGCAATTAAAGCGCCGTGGGAATTAATTCGCGCGAATGAAAATCCCCCCGTAGGAATCGCGACGTAACCGGTAATTTGTAATCTCGCAATTAGGGGACGTCGTGAGGCGAAAGGCCGCGAACATCTGGAGGGGATATATATCCGGTCCTCCCTTTCGGCTCCGCTGCTTTCTGAAGATCCTTCGGAGGCGGAGAGGAGGGAGCTGTTGGAGCGAAATTCTTCCGATTCGTTCTACGTCGCGTCCAGGTTGCCTTAATCACGCTGTTTTATTCGGCGATAATTCGTCGCGTCCGTGGAAACGCCTTAATGGCACGGGAGAAGCGGAAGTGCGCGCCGGAGCCATGAAAATGGTGATGAAGGGGGCGAAGGGGCGGGTGGAACAACGCAGCGGTGGAGAAAGTCCGGGATCGTGGTACTTTAAATATATTTTTTTTCTCCGTACTCTCTCTCTCTCTCTCTTTCTCTCTCCCTTCCATCCCCCTTCGGTCCCTTTTCGCCCTTTGCCGTGTCCGACCGCCCACCGGCTTTTTGTGATTTACGGCCTAAAACATCTTCGCGATATCGCCCCTCCGAGAGGAAAATAGGAGGAAAGCGACTCACGCTAGTGAATCTCTCTTCCGGAATTCTCGTTAACACGATCGTTTCCTTCGCCTCCGACACGTGGGCTCTGTTCACGGGGAATGGAGAAACGCTTACCAAGCGAGCGCGATGTTCTCTCTATTCCCTTCTCTCTCTCTCTCTCTTTTTTCAACATTTTCCCCGTTCGTTCCTCATTTTAAAGCGAATTCGAGTCCATCGATTCACCATCCCGACGGGTGGTAACAGGCAATCGGCTGCAACGTCCGTCGAGCCTACCTCGATCTGTGATACTTGGCGCGGTCCGTCAGCAGAATGTGATTTTCGCTTATACGGGCGAATTTATAGGCGATTCGATAACACGGTAGGACGTGTACAGTATCGGGCGAATTTAGCAGTGTATGTTCGTAAACTGCCCGCATGTGAAATTCGCATGCGGTCCCGCGGATTTTCCGAGCGGCGCGATCTTGCCGGAGAGCGATAAAAACTCGATAAAGGGCGTCCTCGTTCCTCCCCCGTTGTTCCTGTCCCGATACTACCGTTGTCTATCGCGTCCTTTTCTCGCTTTTCCAGCGCTCCGGATATCGGTGTCGTAACTTCGTCCGATCATTTCAAGGCGCGATGTAATGAAATTTAATCGTTCGCGCCGCCATCAGTGAGAGGGCGAAGCTATCGAAAGCACACTTCGTTCTAATCCATTCGCTCGTGTTCGAACATCGTGAAAAATAGATCGCCTTTTACCTCGAAGAATGGAAACCCAAGGGCAATGCTTGTTTACCACGTATACAGGGTGTCCGATAATTTCCTCGGGATCTGTAGTGGGCAGGTAGAACGAGTGAAACTGAACAGAAAAGTCATTTATCATTTTGCAAAATTCGCAGTAGTTAGTGAGGAATTGATTAATCGGTATGAGCTAATGAGCGCACGAGAAGCGATAGAGGTTAATTAATTCTTAATTATTGAGAATTTTGCAAAATGGTACGTGACCAGCTTCACATGATTTATGTGCACGGATTCCGAGAAAATGATCGAATACCTTGTATAAATAATCTTCACAACATAGACTGCTATGATTGACTTCCAAAATTCTACTAACGAGCAGTCGATTTAACGAAAATCGTCAGTAGATTTACACGTTGCAATTACCAACCGCACTATTGGCATTAATAAATCGTATCATCAATATGTACAATCGATATTTGATCTCGCAAATAATTTGCTCATGCATAATCGCTACAAAGTACATCGCGATTACCTACAATTAGCAAGCCGCGGCCAATATTAAACTTCCCCCTTTGACTTTATTATGAAAATACAAATACAATCGTGATTTCGTTTGCGTTACGATTGTACTGCAGCCACGGCGAGCGGCATATATTATATTTGACCTTTCATCTTCATCGATTTTATGATCGCGTTATTGCCGGCGGAATTAATAAACGAAAGTAAATAACGGTGATAAACATATGCATAACAATAATATGCGGATCATTCGTTAAGAGCGTAAACAGTCCATTTTTCGAACCAATACAGTTGTAGCAGTTGAGTTGATAAATTTACTAAGAGTTAAAGATCTGCGATGAATAGAAAATAATGTCACGGCGATGCACGGCGATTTATTATTGTATTTACGCTCTGCTTTTCGATTCCATTTAACAACTCGCGCACGGAAAGAGCCGAGTGGTCATTTCTAAAATTATTATTGTTATCCGAATCTCTCGTGCGAAGCTATAAATTTTACTTAGCTCTGCTATTTATCGACGATAGGACATATTTATTAAATGCTACACCGATAGAGCATCGATGCGAGTTACGCGCGTGGAACGGTAATGCTGATTTCATCGCAAAATTTCGCTCTAAAAAGTATCATATCTCGAGTATGCACATTAATATAAGCATAACTGTAATCTCACTTTTGCGATTATACGTCAAAAATTGGTAAAATTCTAATTTATCAAAGTTCTCGCACACTGAAAGAAAAAAGTACTACGTTCAAATTAAATATTTGCTAACAAGTATTTTGAAGTAATCATTTTACTTGGTTTGTACAAATATTGTTTGAATGTAGTACACCGAAAAAAAAGTGTTACATTCAATTAATATTTATTTAATCTAAGTGAAATAATTACTCCAATATTCCTTAGTAACGAAGATTTAAAGCTGAATCTAGCAATGACTTTTAAAATTTCCCTGAAAATGCGTCGGCTGTTTCGGAGAATTTTAAAATACTTGGAATCACTCGTTTCCTCCGTCTAGGATCTCACGCGATCTCGGACAGTAATGTATTTTTGAAGGACAATTAAAATATTATATTTTTATCTATTATTTTAGCAAATATTAACTTAAATGTAGCACTTTTTTGTTCGGTGCGCGCGGTAAATAATCTATCAAAGGCACTTTAACGATTATTAATTAAACCGTGGCTTTCAAGTCTGATACGAAGAGTACATAATTGAAAATTCATAATTTTATTAACGGCACGAATTACTCGTCGTTCCGCATTAATTGACACACTTCAGCTGTAATCTCAATTTCCTTTCACGTGCGCAATCGCGCACCGAAGCAATTAAACGATCTGCATAGGAAATATAAGGCATCACGCGAGCTTACAATCTTGCAATCAACTGCGAGGGATTTGAGCGTTCCAGAAATTTCATAAACGCATCGTCAAGAATCAACCGTCAAGTTGCAGCGGAATGTTAATGCGAGCGAGTGTAATACGAGTGTGATACGAGTGTAATAAGATCATTCATGCAAAGACAAATTTATTCATTAAGAATTTCTCACGCGCATTATTGTTTCAATTTCTCACGCACATGTTCACTTGTGTGTTAAATATAATTAATATCCAATCTGTTAATTATATTAAATTAATTTTCCTTTGATTTAATTATCAGTCTATCATGTAACGATCGTGTAAAAAATAGGTAATAAATCGAAACGGTATATTTCATCATTTCGAGCGCATATCGGCTGCGAATGGAGCAAGAGGAAAACGAGAAGAAAGTTATTGGAGGACTTGTTCGACTGACAAGTCACGTGACAGACAGTAAAGTCCAAACTACGAGAACAATTCGTCTCGGCTCGAGAGGCAGTTATCGATTTCGCCAACGAACCGTACACAACCGCATCGCGACTCGAAGCTCGGATACCAAACTGGAATAAGTGATTGAGGACATGTATCGTCCGCGTCGACTACGTAACTATCCATGTATTTGTATTATTACGAAAATACAATTAACAAAATGTTACACAAGTAACACAAAAAATGTTATACAATTAACAAAATGTCTTTCTGTCCTGATTAGTCTAATTAAGTGTTACTCTCTTCGTCGAGTAGAGTTTTCGCACGCAGCCCAGGGTTAACAAATAGCTGTTCACTAACCGGGTTTTGCCGAAGTTGTCACGCTCATTGGTGCAATCCGCTGCCAGGGAGAGTTCGTGGAATCCTCGAAATATCATCGGGACTGTGTTTCCAGGAGCACACGGACGTCCCGCAAGGTTGTCTTTAAAGAGATCAACGCGTAAAGACATGCATCGTCCTGGCGGCGCGCGTAAACATAACCTCTACGGAGGTCGAATTTTCATCGCGGAAACGTAAACACACACCTCCAACCGTGACAGCGGCCGGCGCGCGACTGCCGCCGGCCCGTCGGTCGTCGACTCGCGACAACGACCGAGGACGCCCGAGCTTCGGCGATCACCTCGGCAGCCACGTGCTCATCGGCCAATCACGCTCGCGCGACCCACGTGCTCGGCCGAGGACCATGTGCGGGACACTAGCCGCACGTTTCCGCCGTTCAGAGCGATTCACGATTCAGAGCTATGCTGTTTCGATTTCGTCTGTCTGATCACAGTCGGATACTCCGTTAGATTTTTCTGCCATTCTTCGTATCTTCATTTATTATGTCTTCCCTTTGCAATCGCGTTTAATATTTATTAAGTACGTAGTCATATTTGTTTCGCATAAGCGTGTTCAGAGGGATTAATATCCAACATTTTTTATCTTATTTCTTGTGGTTATGCGCAAGTATCGAGTATGAAATTTTGATTATTCTAAGGCTCGGTTTTTCATTTTCTGATTAACATGCGATTTAAACTGATGATGATGCAAAAATTGTGTTTTTCTATTTATGATTAATCATAAAACCGATGGTTTTATAGTGGTAACTTTTAAAATTTAATGGTTAACAATGAATAGAAAAACATAAATTTTACGTTATCAGGTTAGTTTAAACACGAGTTAAGCGGAAAATGAGTTAACCAGGAAACTTGGTCTAAAGTAATGACGTAGTAATGAAAAAGACTATTGAGCTCAATGGAATATTACATGAGATGTCAATTGAATCATCTTTCTTTTTTATTCCAACGATGTATGTATGAACTATATAAAACGTTGAAATGCGACCTCACACAAGAAGTTGAAAAAAATTATAATTCACGGAAAGCAGGGCAGTGTTTATGATATGCTATTATTAATGATAGAACAATCTGATAAAATCATCTTACCTTTACTTTGTCAACAATAGAGTGATTTCATTCTATTGTAAAGTACGTGAAAAAAAAAGCATTTTCTTTCGGCACATATTATTTCTTTCGCTTGGGGTAAGTTATGGTGTGCAGAGGTGCATCATATAGAAGAATAAGGATATTGGAAGCTGCCATATTAAATTCTGCCAGCTACTACCTATTTTAGTAGCTTTTTCATGTTTTTCATGCACGGCTGTATATCGTAAACTTAAAGGACTTTTATAGCCATTTTGCTGGCGACGAACGACGATCGTTGCACGCGTCGCTTCGTAAATTCATTCGCCTTACAAATTTCACGTTCGTGGACTTGTTCTTCCTTTCTTACGCGTGCAAGTAGTGATATTTAAGAAGAAAAATATTAATAGCAATAATCTTAATAAATACACTCGTAAAAATCAATAGGAATTCATTCGCTAATTCTTTACTAAATCAAAGAAAGAAAAGGTCTGTGTGAAATCAAATTTACTCAGACAGCACAATACCCAGAATCGGGACACGATCGGGACATCGGAAAACGTCTTTAAAACATTTTTAAAGCGTCTCTAAAATATCTTTTTTGTAGACATTTTTAACATGCCTTAAAAATGTTTTAAATATGTTCCGATTTTGGACATTGTGTTGTCTGAGTTAAAAAGGTGTAATATGACAAAAAAAAAAGATATTATCTATTTAAAAATAAAAAATATATGTATATATGATAAAAGATATGATATGATGTATGCTTGAAAAGAAGTTAATTTATAATTTTTCTGGCAGGGAATTGCATGTATCTGCATAAAGTCCTTACCATTGAAAGAACTTCAAGGATTGCATTTAGTTTATCATTTGAGTAAAACATTAAATCGATGGCACATTTCGTATCTTCCTTTGACTCTGACCATTGAGTGCGTTCAGTTTTAGTTATTTAATTAGACTCGACGAACATATTGGCATAGTTCTTTCGCGCTTCGAAATATGAGACGTATAGTAGAACATATTTACAGCATAGCTGTTTCGTTAGATAATACGCGAGAGAAATGTCCAAATAATGCAAATGATAGAAGTAGTGTAGCAACAGGTATCACGACGGTTATAACAGATCACGAGTTAGCCGAGACACAAACCTCCGTGATGGATTGAAATCGAGTTTCCAAGTGGTTACGTCGAGTGCAGTCGAACACGGCGCGATAGTTGGTTACGCACCCGGAGGATGGCGGTACGCTCAATGTAACTCTAATGCCCCGTGACTTTTCGCCTTTTAAATGTTACACGGCTTTAGAGAGTGTGTAAAATATCGTCAAATATGATAAAATATCGTCACTGTTATCTTGGCTATCAAGCTTTTAATAATTCTTTCATAAAACGAGAGTCGCAATGAATACAAATTTATTTCGAGTGTGTATAGTTGAGCGAAAAAATTTAAAAAAATCTAATTAAATTTTACATTAATAAATATAAATTCACACACACACACACACACACTCACGCGCGGCGAGAAAGAATTCATTTAATACAAGCAGTACATTTTCTTTAGGGAATCCATTTCCGAGGAGCGCGCGGCGTTCCTAACTCGTTCGTCATCGATTTCGCGCCGATCGAGGCCGGCGAGGGCGAACTTTCAGCCGCACAAATTAAAACCATTACTAATGGCGCCGAGCCCGGCAGGAAACCCGCCCTTATCCCGAGAAATAATTCCTCGGCGCACTCGCATCGACAGCGGCGAGAATTGCACTCCTCTGGACGCCACGAAGAACTTTGAGTGCGGTCAAACGCACCGACAGTGAAAAACGCCCGTGACCCGCCAGACATGCAGAGAATAGTGAGAGGAATTTATTATCGTCAGACGTATATGACGGCCGTCTCTCAAACTGAGAGTCTCAAACCCTTCTTATGCTTCTACATTTGCGTAGATATAGAAAAAAAATACATTATCGCGGTTATAAATTTATAAATCGTTATAAATCGTCATTGCGATAAATAAAAAAAAGCACTGAAACGTCAGTTCGTCTTTTATATGACAAAAAGAGGATAAATAAAAATAACAATTAATTTTGAGGTTTTATTGCTCGCGTTTGTAGGAACGCACGTTCCTCTTCCGTTTTTTGTCAGATACACCAGTGGAATTTTATACCCTTTATATTTTCGGTATATTGAATTTTCCAGGAATTTTTTGTACTTTTAGTTTACTTTGTGCGGGTTCCTGCATTCCAGGGCCCACGAACTTCTACGTTCGGAGATTTACGAACCTTACATTGTGATCGAACTTTTCTATTCTATTTTGCCGCCGAGGCAACGAAAAGTATGTTGTACTTTAGCGAAAAACATATATCATTCTAACTTAGCTTAAAAAAGCTCATGAAAATACAATTCCCTGTATTTTATAAAATATTGATTTTATTATAATCAAATCTTCCGTTCCCTCTCTCTCTCCATTTCTCTATCTATTCATCTATCTATTTATTTTTCTGAATCTTTTAAAGAGGAATGAATGCGTTGAATGTGAGGTAGGATAGAGGGGGGAGGCGAGAGATAGAGATAGAGAGAGAGAGAAGAGAGAGTGGGTGTGACTGGATCCCACGAGAGGAAAAACCGCGAGAGATTGTCGAACAGAGACGTCCTTTGGAATGTCGTGCGATCCCGCCGTGCTTTCGTGCAAGAAGACTTTTGGACGGTATCCAGAGGCTATAGATTTATCGCCGTGAAACATAATGGTGCAATTGTATACGGCCAAGCGGCTGCGATGCTATCATCACAGACATGCAATTCTAAAATTGATGATGAATAAATAATTGTTTTTATTTTTACTCATGTCTAGATTTTATTTTCTTTAAGCTGCATTGTCGCAAATCATGCCTCCTCTTCATAATATATATGTAATATAAATTTTTATTTTTGTATGTTAATGTGTTGTACAGATATTTTAATAACGAAACAATATAAAAAGTTTGTGAAAATTATTTTTTGTGCGAATACAAATTTATTCTTAACCTTCGTCATCTTTTCCTCATACGTGAGTAAATTGACATGTTCTCAAAAGATTTAAATGAAAAGAAATTATAATGTAGTTATATACGCTTTAAGTTATGCAAATTGTAGGTAAGGCTTTAGCTACTCAAAAAAATTAATCATTATTTTTTACGTTACTACAAAAATGAAAAATCGATAAACTTTAAAGTCGTTATTTTAGCCCCTTTTCCTCTATATTATAAAATTATAAGAAGAAATTAAGTAGCATATGATATAAAGTTGATATCTAAAAATTAATATTCGCAAGAGATTTATTCTTTATAAGTCTGAAAAAAATACGCAACTGGCAATTGTTGATTTGCGTGCGAATTTCTCGGACTGATTACTCAGTGTTTCCCCTCGTGCATACCGGACTCCGCCCGTTTCAATTCTCCATCCAAATCACGATTAATCATTACGCTAATCTTAATTAACGCAATTCATAGATCAAACAATGCTGCATTCACGATTCTAGATGTTGCATGTTAACTTGATTCGGCGCCTCTTCGTTAAACACCTGTCCCTTATCGCGACCGGGAATACAAGGGTTACCTGCAATGTTCCCCAGGAACGGTCATGAAATTTATCGGCCGCTCCGTAATAGAGGCTGTGCCCTCGGTATTGTTTTGCCGTTATCTTTAAATTGGTTTAGATTACTGTCGCGCGTTTTGCGAGTTAGCAATCGAGCAAAGGTGGTTGCTTACAACGATTGCTACTGGTAATAATGGCAGTAATCGCGTATAACTGCCTCCACTAAACGATAAGCGGCCGGTTAAATAGCAGTTAAACGCAGGCAATTAGCCGCGCTGATGACAAAGATAGGTGATTCGGTGGTTTTATTTGCTGATTCACGCGCACGTGTGTCTTCGTCGGCTTAATTGCGCGCCCGCTACGATGATTGGCACATTGTGCTTTATCGCTCGCCGTACGAATAATGACATAACGCTGAATAATGGGATGTTACGCATTGTCACACGTTTCCCGACCGTGTATCTACCGAAAACCGTGTAATCACCCCGTTTTTTTAACAAACAGGCGACTCTTTTATTTTGTCTTTAATTTAAACGCCGATTAAAATCCCACGCTGTACGCTCGTCTTTCGAAGATAT